TAACTCCTTATCTTGAACTTCTTGTACAATTTATTTGTACTTCTTTATTTTTTATGATTTCTGAGCATACCTTGTCTTCTTGCTCTAGTAACTACAGATTCTGAGAGATATTATGCTATATATTATAGTAAATCTTTTCCTCCCACATTTAAATGCAAGCTGTTGAGGGTGGAAGTTGCATCTTGTTACCTATATAATCACCACAGGGCCTAGTATCAAGTCTTGCACAAAGTAAATGCTAATTAAACATTTGTAGCTTCACATGTATGTATAGTCAAAACTTCAAAATCATACATATCTCCTACAATTTTAGGAAAATAAATAACTTACTAGAAAACAAACAGCATAAAATTTAAGATAGCTTCTCTTTTCTTCTCACTGTCTCTTGCAACATCTAAGTTAAGTTTTTGACCTGGTACCCTCTGACCAATCTGTTCATATACTCTCCACTTCTAGCAATGAATGATATCCTCAAAGACACTCTCAGTGGAAGATTCTTTGCGAATGATTCTGTTATGAATCATCAACTCTAATTAAGGTTGCAGAATGAAATGATACTTATAGAAAGAGCTGTGTTACAGCATATGAAATAAATTTTGCCATAAAACTCACTGAACTCAGGCAGACTCAGGGAAACATCATCCTTATAAGCCTTCTCATAGAATGGTGTTGTTTTTCTCAACACTTTTAAAGGTATAATTGTACACACTGATCTGAATAACTGAGTAATTTATAAACTTGAATCTTTGGTGCCATCCACAAACTCAGACTGGGATAGACTCTAAATGTGATTTGAGGATGATGTTCTTCTTGGAGTTGAGTTAACAGAAAGGGAGATGTGAAATTTTGCTTAGGAGAAAACTATAAGCTTTTATTATTACGACTCATGTCTGCAGAAATCTGTGTAACGAATAGGAAAAAAAAAACTAGTCTACTGTTCTAAAAATCGTGTCTGTTGAAATAGAAATTTATTATTATTTCAGCAAATACATACTCATGTACTTGGGTATTTACTAAGTTTCCAGTATCAACCTGGGCCTGGTAATGCAAGACAAGTATGGCATCCGATCTCGGAGGGCTTGGAGTTTATTGGAGGAATGGATACTTAAAAGGAAAACACCCGCAACAGAATTAAAAAATTGCTGTGAGGAAGAAGAATATGGTGCTTTGTAAAAGAATGATGTTAGTGTTGCCAGGAATAGAAGCTGCTTCCTGAAGAAAGAAGGATGCAAAGGAGAACCGGAGAGCAGTAGGGGCAGCTGTCTTCATGTTGGGAGCGCTCTGGCTTTCTGACAGGACTCGACAACGGCCACTATGGCTACAGAATTGTTGAAGTGAAAGTGGCACAGTCCGAAGATTGGAAATGCCCTTCTCCTCACATTTTTGCCCCTCCCTCCACAAAGCAGCTGTTTGTCACTTCTCTGCTTTAAATGTCTCAGTGGATTCGTCATGCATTTCCAAAACACTCCCCAGTCCTCACCACGGCTTAGGGGCCTCACGTGCTCTGGCTTCTGTTTGTCGTTTCACACTCATGACAAACTCTTGTGTTCCTTACTGCTCTTCGGGTGTGTTATCCGTCTGCCACTTCCTAGAACCCTCTACACTCATTCAATTTCTTTTTCCTGTTCTTAGAATATTTGATTTTTTTTTTTTTTTGGAGGGGGAAGGAGAACTCTTTCAATAGCTGGCTTTTCTTTTTTTTCTTTCTTTAGGTCTCAGCTCAAATATCACCTCCTCAGAGGGCTCTTTCCCAACATCCTTTTATTATCTATCACAACCATCTATTTATTTTCTTCCTATAATCTGTATTTGTTTATTGTTTGTAGCCCATCTTCTGTAATGTAAGCTCCAGGATGGTAGGATCATATTTGTCTTCTTCACTATTCTCCACAGTCTACACATGTCTAGGACATAGTAGACTTATTATATAAGGAGCATTTGTTGAAAAAATGAAGAAATTTGAATAAAACAAATGATACTGGAGAAGTTGGACAACTTAAAGTATCAAAAAGTTTAGATTTTTTTCTAATGAGCTTATCTTTTTATATTTTGATTTTTATAAAGAGATGACTGAAATTATGTCATTTATGTTTTGATAAGAAAATTCTGAAGGCTATGTGAAAAGAGTCTGGAGAGGGGCAGGAATGGAAGCAGGGGTCCAGTTAGGAGGCCTCTGCCATGGTCTAGGTCAGAAGGGGTGATAGTCATCGAAGAGAGTGTTTGCAGTGTAAAGAGAGAGAGAGATGATCATACCGACTCAGTGACCTTCTAGATCAAAGTGTGGAGATCAAGAAGGAGGTGCCAAGAATTGTGATAATCCTGATGAAGCAAACAAATAGGTGCTAATGTATTCAACTAAATTAGGAAGGCAGTGGAAAGATGAAGCTATCAGGAGAAAATAAAAAGATAAAATTTCAGAGTATTATATTTGAGATGTCTGTTTAACTCTTAATTAGTTTGTGAAGAGTGGCAGAAAAATAAGGAGATAGTTGGCAGAGATGTGGGACTAGCAGAGGAAATGTTGACAGACAGCATCTCTTTAATGCTCCTGATGATAAAAATCACCTAGAGTTTTTATCAAACATCCAAATTCCATTTCCCTTTCCTAAAATTCTGACTCAGTACCTTGAGATAGAACCGCATAGTTGTATGTTTACAAAAGAGAGAAAGAAAGAGAGAAACAGAGATTGTGGGAGAGTGAGAGAGCAAGAGGAAAGATCTGCTTTTAATGAGTGTAGGACATGTCTCTCTTCCTTTCATGTAATTAGAGAAAAGAAGGACTTTCCTATCTCATACGTAGAAGAAATAAGGACAAGATTGGTGGATGCAGGCAACTATAATGTTTTTGTTTTGCTGCTGGAATTCCATCTGATGGTATTTTCTCAAAACTATGTGGCAAGGACATCCCTGGAAAACTAAAGGGGAAAGAGAATGAATTTCATCAGTTATGAAAAAGGACGACATCCCTTTGATCTTTGTCAAAACTAGAAAAACAGTTTCTAAAGGAGAAAAGATTTCTTGACACTGGTATATGGTAATCTGAGATTGTTGCTAATAAACGTATAATGACACAATCTTCCCAGTTGTGTATTTTAATGGTAAGAAGTCACTTATGAACCCAATTTCCAAAACCTTAATATTTTAGTGAATTCATATGGATAGCACTTCTTAGAAAAATATTTTCCCTAAAATTGTATGTTTTGTGATGAAATACATGGAATTTATTCAAGAATTAAAGCATGTATATTAAAGGAAAATATTCAATATATTCAGAAAGAATAGAAAAGTGAATTTAAGATGTATATTAAAATTTGGATTCTAGGGTATATTCTGACATACTGTGATCTGATATTAAGATTATTTCCCACATAAAATTGGAGTTAAGTATCTCTTGATCATATTACATGACTTAGTCTTTATATTAACTCTATTATCCTATGGAAATGGTTTGAATGTCTTTTTATGATATGGAAATAATTGAAAAGATGTACTTTTTTTTTTTGCCATGATTGCTATTGAGTAAAGATCAAAAGAAATGGCCTCAGGGTGCACAATGAGGACCGTATGGTCCAGGGAAGGACAGGTTTGTTATCCTGTTAGTTGTTTAACTGTCAGGTGGATTTCCAAGAGTCTGTACAGTCTCCCCCTGTGAATTTTAATTCAGAGATTCATTCATATAGGATAGGATATGTTATGGACAATTTTACCTTCTAAGGATGTATCACTAAATTCAGTCTCAGCACTCCTCATTATTACCAACAAATGATCCATGATTTTTTATACCGATATTAAGACTTTGGTTCAGATTCCCCTTATTCATCTTACTTGAATACAGTGTAAAAACTGGATCATGTAGGCTCAATATAATTGCTCTCATTCAGGTAAAAAGAATCATATACTCTATTATCAAGTGCATTAGCAAATGCTCTATCAATTTGAAAGTCATAACTCGGTGATTGTCAGTAAAGACAGCAGATGTGGAAAACAGAAACAAGAAAACTCCCTCCAATAAGGTTTATGTTATACACATGGGTCACAATAAATCTTCATTATGTAGTGTTTATACATATCACTTGATACTATGGATTTATGTGTACACTAAGCATAAGTCTTTTACTAAAACTGCAGTTTTCCTGTAAGTGCAATCATCATCAAAATGTAAAAGAACTGCTTTCCTCTTACATGTACAGTGAGAATAGTAATCATTAAACAAAACAGAGAGCTGTGCCTTTAGTTTATCTGAGAAGCTCTTCTTATGGTCCCTGACAAAATTCATCTTTCCTTCCACACTTCTCCTGTTGCACTTTGTAGGAACACTTTAATTTACATTCCTCAAAACTATTAGAAGAACCCAGTGATTCCTAAGTGGAAGAAATATGCATAAAATCTAATGGATTTCGTGCATCCTGGATTGCATTATAGCTGTGATGTACTGACATCTGTGTTGCTGTCTCAGAGACACGGACATTATTTTACTCAGTATTTTTCTCAACAGTGTCTAACAAAGTAACTGGCACACAATATGGGTTAAACAAATACTTGTTTAATGAAGTTGGAGGAAATTGCATTCTGCTAGCCAGTACAATGTTGTAGAAGTAATGCTATTATCACTGAAGCCTTGTTTTTAATGAAGAATGACTCAGGGCTTTGCTAGGGTTCCCCACCACTCCAGGAACTTTCCTTTTTTTTTTTTTTTTTTAAATAGTAGAGAGTGAAAAGAAGCTATGTGTCCAGGGTTCCTATTTCCCAAAGACTTAAATAAGCCTCAATGTAGACTCACTCCTCATCAATATGGAAGTTAAAATATCTCAGATGTTATCATTATAATTAAATAGCATAAGAATGTCTCCTCATTTCTGTTTTTTAAAGATACTTCTCTCCAGTCGTCAAGAATACAACTTTCCATGATTGCAGCTGGGGGAGTGGGAGAAAAATTAACACCTTAGAGATAGACAATACTTCATTTCAGAGAATGCAGAATGCAAAACCCAGTGTGTCACCTTGCTGCTGCACTGGTGATGATCTTCAGACTGCCTGGGTTCCGGATAAGCTTGTCCAGAATGCTGACAATCTGCTCAAACTTGGGTCTGTTGTTTCTGTCTTTCTGCCAGCAGTCCAGCATTAGCTGATACAACGCAGCTGGGCAGTCCATGGGGGGCGGCAGTCGATAGCCCTCATCCACAGCTTTAATTACCTGTGTGAGAAGCAAAGTTTCCAGGAATGTAAGAGGTGGGACTTCTTTTATTTTTTCACGGGCAGGGCACAGTAATATGAATATTTTAAAGTTAAGTGAAATTGTTCTAATTTTAAACTGCTTAAAAGGATAACAGCTTATCAAACAAATAAGCAATTATTTATGTGAGAAAATGTTATATAAAGGAAGATGAAAAGAAAGCGAATTTAGAAAAGAAAAAATTTGTAAAGATAGTTTTCAAATCAATAACAAGAAATGTTCTATGGTACAGGAAATTAAATGAGTTTTAAGAAATTATTATTTGGTAATCCAGAGTTCTGTGGAATCTTTTTCATATATAAATGCAGAAAAAAACAATATATACCAATATACACCAGTTATACCAGAGTTCAAATACTACCTTCTAAAACGTAGGTTCCTTTGGTAAAATCCTATGTGTTGCACAATTAAGTAATTATTACTTCATTAGTATTTTTAAATGTCATAAACAGTGACTTTCAAAGTTTATATCAGAATCATCTGGAGGGCTATTAATATATAGAACAATATCCTCTGATTACATATGTATAGGGAGAGGCCTGACAATCTGCATTTCTACTAATTCCTAGGCCATGCTAAAGCTACTGGGCCAGAGACCACACTTTGAGATTCTCTGACAGAGAGAATTTGGAAAATAGAGATGTGGAAAAGTGAGTCTGATTTTCCCAGCAACATTATAAAAACAGCTTGTTTGACAAAGTACAGAAAGGTTTTTATATCCAAATACATTAAAAGCAATCTTATATGTGGTGAGTAGGAAATAACTAAAAGCATCTCAGCTTTCCTACTTATGTATCTTTGAGATCATGCTCACAGTTTCTGGCTAAGCATAAAGAAAAATCTCTGAGTTCTGATCCCGTATGCTAACAGCATCTTTGTACTAAGCATTAGCAAAACATGACATGCGAAAACAAAAATCCTTTTGAAAAATCAGATCACAGTTATTATAGAAAGCTAAAGATTATTTTTCCATCCAGAAACTTCAGTTTGCATAAGTAAACTCATGTGCAAGTTTAATACATTATGATAAGCAACATGCCAGAGATTGGTTGTTTTGTCTGACTTTGGGAAACACTATATTTAAGTTAACAAAATGTTGGCATAGATGCATTTGTTACATCTACAAAAGATGGCAGACATGCGGCTTACTAATGTTATATAGAAACAATTTTGTAACAAAAATACTTCAAACAGTCTTTGGTATCTATTGATTATCTCATTGATTGCTTATTTTATTATGTTCTTGTTACAGAAATCTTCGTTTTCTTATTTCTAAACCTCTGCTTGAGGGAAAAATGTAAAGTTGTAATTAATATCTTTGCAAGACTTAGAAACTATTTCATTTCTTCTAAGTACTCTATTTCAATGTCACAAACTGGGAGCCACCTGGTTTCATTATGCTCCACTTCCTTGCACAGCTTGATCTCTTAATCTGAACCCATAACTCATAGACTACAAATACTTACATCCTGATTGGACATCTCCCAGTATGGTCTCTCTCCATAGGACATCACCTCCCAGAGAACAATCCCATAACTCCACACATCACTGGCTGACGTGAATTTGCGGTATGCTATAGCTTCCGGTGATGTCCATCGGATTGGGATCTTTCCTCCCTGGGAATGTTAAATCACATGGACATACATGATCAATGCATGAAAGATATAATAAATAGTATAATCTGAAATCTGACTGAATTTGTCAGAGTATTTCTCTTCTGAAACAGAACACGAGATTCTGGTGACATATCTTAATATTCTAATTTAATATCAAGCAGAAGTGAGAGGCACACCATTTTCTGCAATATTTATTTCCAATCAATTTGATGAAAGGAAAAAAAAAATGGAAAACTGCTTAACTGCTGATGTTTTATATCTGCTACGGCACATTAATTATTCATCTGGAAAAACACAACCTGAAGTAGATGTGCTACGTCATTCATTAGAATTGAATGAGGCATCTCAAATCAATCAATATTGATTTAGCACAGATTTGTGCTTGATCAGGCAACCTTAGTTCAGAATGTGCATAAGTTAATATTTTCAAAGCACTTATGCCATTCCTTGACACATACATCCTCAGTTATTTGTTAACTAAATAAATTAAAAATAAATTATACTTTTAACAAACACTCTTCAATACATTGACAATGGTCTTGATTAACTTACTCAGTGCCCCACTCCATCATTAATCACTGAAGTACCTTCCATGTCCTAGGTAGAAACCATATGAACTTGATATATATAATAACTACATTCCCAGAACTTAGTCTAGAGGAGAATATTGCTTCTATGAGTTATGGGCAATATGAAAGTATAACTCCCATGGAATTTGCTCTCAGTTTAATAAATACATTTAATAAAGATGTGCCGAGTAGCAACCATATGGGAAGTATTATTCTAGTCAGTCTGGGTGAGACAAATATAAATAACATACGAGCCCTCTGTTTGGAAAATATCAGCAAATAGGAGTGATAATCAGTTGTTTTGAATAACTAAATGCAGAAAGAAATAAGAATCTAGTGCTTTGCTTCTCAAACTTTATAGTGCATATGAATCATCTGTGGCTTGCTCCCATTAAAATGGAAATTCTGATTCAGGTGTTCCAGTGTTGCCTTTTTTCCTAAAAAGCTCCAGGTTCTGCTGACCCTGCTGGTCTTAGACCTTACAGTGAGTAGGAAGGCAGTAGTGAAGCCTGCTGCGATGCAGGGCACGGAGCCGAGATTCTCACTAGAAAGACTAAAGAGTCACATATGAATTGAGCCTGGAAAGATGGATCAGTTTTTGATACAAGAAAAGAGAGAGGGATGTTCCAAAGAATTCACATCACCAAATCTTAAGCCATTTCATCAAAATGTGTTACTTTGACATTGCAACTCATAGCACTTCACTGGTTTTGAAATAATGCTTAAGGCGGGCAATATGTTGCTTTAGAGAAAAGGATCAGCAACTTAGGAGGTAAAATATTAAACCTCATTATGCCTGAGTTTCTTCATCTGTTATTTAGGGAAGTAATAGTTCTGGTTCATAGCATCACTGTGGGGCCAAATGACAAATTTCAGTAAAATCTTTAGCATGTTTCCCTCACACAGAAAAGGTATGAGAAACTTTAGCTTAACACTCCTGTACTCTGAGGGAAATGACATACATCAAAGCACAGAGAAGGAAAATGTATGTTCTGGAAGAAGTTTCCAGTGTGATTACCCTACAGAGTGTGTGGAGGAATACAAATGCGAGACGATGGGAAGACGCTGGCTGGGATTTAATAACAGGGATACTGAGAAGGGATTATCCTGCAAAGTAAAGTGGTATATACGATTGGAACTATCTCAGTGAACTTGACACTTTTCTCTGATGTTTTTATACAAGGGAGCTGTTCAGAGGGGATGCCACCAGCAGATCTTCGAAGGAGCTAGGGCTTATACTGGCTCTTGAAGAGTCCATGAGGCTGTAGAGAAGTGAGCACAGAGGAGGGACTGAGCATAGCCTTCATAAGAAGCTGCCAGCCTAAGTGTAGTTGCCGATTTATACAGGTGAAGTAAAATAAATCAACTTGGACACAAGGGAGCCAGACCAAGGAGAGCCTTGGGAGATAGTGAGACACACTACCGTGCACAGCATGTCCAGAAACACAGAATAGACAATTTTGACAGTCACGTAGATGAGAGGGCATAAGGTCTTTGAAGTTTCCTCTTTTCTTTATCACTCTGTGACTCATTCACTCTATTCTTTATAGTTTGTACTTTTTTTTACAACAGCATTTGAAAGGGTCTTTTTTCACATTTAAATTCAGAAGATCTAATGTTGCCTTTTACTCTGCCAATGCATTCAATCTGAAAAATAACAATGATAAAAAATTTTAAGCTCTAAAATTAACTAATGTGCATGTGCCTAGAGATCGTTTGGTTTTAAGGATTCAAATACTAACACTTAATTTTGACAAACAGAATTATACATGTGACATGTAACAAAATCTATTTAGAATGCCCAGTGATATCCTTGGGCACATTTTCTCTTCCTTAAAGAACTGAGGATTACCAGAAGTCAAACAAAGCTGAATTCTTGGAGCAAAGGAAAGATAACATTTTGAAATTTCAGTTAGATGGGTTATCTGTGCTACAGACATTTTGCCATTTGCTTTCCTATTCCCAGAACCAAATCACTTAAAGTATAAAAATGGCACTAAAAAAGAAAGTATTTTCCATCATGAAAACTTTGCAGCTGTTTAGAAATATAAGGCCCAGATACATGCCGTCTTACCAAGGTCTCTAACTTAAATTAAAATACAGACATGATCAAAAACAGCAGGTTTGATGACAGTCGTGAACAAGAAGTCTATTTATTGTGTTTTACTTCAACCAGGGTTAAAATGAAACAGCCCACAGTTGTCTCATCTTAAGTGATTGTTCACTATTTTTCAGAGAGGAGATCATTGAGAATATTTTAATAGAATTTCTTAAAATAGTGATGTTTTGGAAAGTTATCATATTTTAGGAAGGAGATAGCCAACTGGTGTTTAAGCCTGGATGGAGAATCTTTTCATGTGCTGTTTTGGACTCAGACATAAATGCTCTTGAAGAGATCCCTGTAGTGTGTTGTCGAATGTACAGCATGGTTATATGTTCAAGCAAATGATTCCCAGAATGATTTTCCAGTCAAGTGCCCTCCCTTTGCTTTTACTGTGTAAATCTTATCAAAATGCTATTTAAAACCCAAAATGCTGTTTAAGACCCACACCAAAAGGAAAATGTTTGAAAAATGTATGGTAAACTATTTTAATGAAAACATAATTTTGAATTCTGCTCTTTTGCTAATACTTTTTTGTAATTTCTGCACCTTGTCAAACACACACACACACACACACATTATCATTAGAATGATAACTTCAAACTTTTCATTGTAACAATTCCTGAAGCTGATCCAATAATTTTTGCACTATTTTTAAGTTTGCACTAGTTCTTAACCAATTATGGCTCTTACTTCACTGTGTTACTTTGGGAAAGTATATTGGCCACATTTCACTATAGTCACCTGGGCAAGGACAAAACTCTTTCTGTACTATTTGCTAGCTTTGGAAAATTTGCTAGCTTTTTAACTTGCTTGCCATTTCGGTTTTTAACCTAAGTTTTCCTCTGGCTCCTAACTATATCAGAGCTTGAGTTCCTGCCCTTATGGGAAAACATGAGGTAGGGGGACAATTTGATTGTTTTTCTCATTTTATTTCTTAACATATTATTATGGAGACACGAAGTGTAAATAAGTGACATTCAGTCAGCTCAACAATCAAACCAGTTTGCAAAGTTCAATGTTCCCTTAAGTTATCCAGCAGTTTCCACTGATCAATTTTTTGTGAACTAGGTCTTTTTCTTAATGGCTGGGCTCAATTCCAGATCACTGTTTATTTAGTGAGTTCATATGCTTAAAAGTAAGTATATTTATTTAAATTAAAGAACTCTTAATTCATATTTTCCTATATGATACCCATACAACTCATTGTAAATGAATAACTGGGGCCAGTAGCAATTGTTGCTACTGTTGCAGAAAATAAATCAGAGTAAGAAGAATTTTATAGACTTGTTTCCTTTTCCATGACTGATAAACAATATCAAGTCAATCTGGCTTTAAATGAAAGAAAGTAAGGCAACAATGTACCCACTTAATTTGAAACTAAACTACAGAAGAGATTCCAAGCTAGCAAAATCATAGTGTTTGAGGAAGGGTGAATGTATGTATTATCACAAACTCTTTGTATTAGACATTGTAGTCGCAAATTCTTTATATTCAATACTGGTAAAATAAATTAAAGTAGTAGTTCTTATCCTGTCCTTGGCCATAAATAGAATTAGTGTCTCGAAACTATAATTCGAACTTGTAAGCCTATGAACATCTGGTTATAAAGCCTTAAAATAATGAACATAGGCCACATGAGCCTTTACTCAATGCAGAAAGCAATTCTTTCTTAGGTGTTATCTTGGAAAATGTGCAGAGCAGGCATTCAATGAATGCTCACTGACTTGAATTGAATTCCCTTTCTCCTAAATACATGCTACTCTTTTTTTTTCTTGGGATATTTTTCCCTCCCTGCCTTCTATAACTAGCAAACTTCTCAGTTGAATGTCCTGGTGCAATGAGAACCTGTTGGTGGAATAGTTGGGAATCTTGTAGGCCAGGATGGTCACTCCATCTGCTGTGATCCTTCGATTGTGTAATTACCCTGACTTAGACAAGGATATTCAGAGGAGCAAGTGCCCTCCTCTTTCATCCCTGCATTCCCACAGTTTAAAGCAGGAGTTTGATTGTCAACCTCTCCTGTTTACAACATCTGTTTCCTACAGGAATATGTAGATTTTTTCAGAGAGAATGTGACTAGTTGTTTTATGGACTTAGAGTAGTAAATTTTACTGAAGATACCTGACAATTTTGGAGCATTTAAATACAGCTCATTTTAAGAAAATATGTTGTCTTTAGTTTTTCAGAATATATGTAAATACTAATAATAAGCCAATAAATAGCATGATGACAGTTTTAAAAATATTGTATTTTATGATGACCTTTTTCCTTAATGCTATTTAATAATGCCATTAATTTCATAATAATAGTAAATATTAGACTCACCA